AAGGCAAGCGCGAACAAACATACACAACAATGGTGGAGTACATGGTACTGTTGTTGCTGCTCAAGAGTTTGCTAACGCTTCTTCAGCAAAGTGTGGATTTACTTCACCAATATTACAACCAACAGCGGAGACGCATCATATACAACATATAATCGTCACTTTCCTACAGGTACTGTTTACTAACAAGGTGGCAGCGCCAACTACTGGCCTGGCATACGTAATACAGCGTTTTTGGCCGTTTTTGCAGATATGAGTAAACGCAAATCATTTTGAAAAACGTTGTCGTATATACGTGAAACTTTTTAAAAACGCAAGGGAAAAACTTTTCCGTTTTTGACTACATCGTTGTCGTGTAAACGTAGCCTTAGAATGCACTGTCTTTGAAGCATGTTTTATTCCCTTGTTCTGGATTAAATGCTTAAATTCTGATATATGTGACTCATTGGTTGATCCTGCTTGATAATTATATCATTTTGGACTTGTCTGCATTATGTTTCCCAAAACAAAGCTTTTTGGTGATTGTAGTCTTTGGAATTATGTTTTTGCATAATAGCATTATTGATGTTAGGGACTGGAGGAAGGCACGTTGTGTATGTTGTGTCAAAAGGGAGGCCCACTGTCTTTGACTTTGACAACCCCCGATCTAGTGGCTACATCATGGTATTTACAAATTACTTTCTTTATTTCTTTCCACCAGATTGCACTAATCTTCATTTGTTGGATTTTAAAGGGGTTCTATTATGTCTATTTACAAAGTCTTGATTTGGTTTTTGCGGTGTACTAGAATAGGTTTTCATGCTTGATTGTTCCAAAAACAAATGATTTTCACATATTTTATATTTTTGCAGCACCTCTCTTCCCAGTCTGTCTCAAACGCCCTGTTAAGTTCCTGTTTTGATGAAACCCCTCCTTCGTAAATTGGTTGATTAGCTGGCCAAGCGCGCTGTGATTGGCAAAACGCTTCAGAAATGTCACACACCTTACCATAACCACAAGTTAATCTGCTCAGCTATAAATATTAACAATGCCGTCAATTTTGCCATACCAAATAAAGTCTGATTCAGACCATGAGAATGTTTACAAACAAGAGGATCGTGCAGAACCTTTGCAAGCATAAATGAACGGGTATATCTCCTTTTAGAGTGGACTTCAAGCATTGCAACCTTGCAGATCTTTTTTTCTGCTTAAACAGCAACTTTAAACACTAACTAAATGTTGAAAAAGTAAAAAATAAGCATAACTGTACACCCTTTTTCTAATAATTTTATTATTTTACATAGAAATAAATGTTAAATCATTTGGAGGTGAATACTGTTTACCCAGAAATATTAAAGAAAAATGTTAAATGTTGTACTGTAACAAATGGCACAAGTGTATATTAGGGCTGGGTGATAAAACGATTTAAAATTGGGTTGTGATCAAATTTATGTTGATGACAATGATATGCTGCTCTGCAGCTGTTGGCTCAAAGTTCAAAATTGGTTGATTAGCTGGCCAAGCGCGCTGTGATTGGTAAAACGCTTCAGAAATGTCACACACCTTACCATAACCACAAGTTAATCTGCTCAGCTATAAATATTAACAATGCCGTCAATTTTGCCATACCAAATAAAGTCTGATTCAGACCATGAGAATGTTTACAAACAAGAGGATCGTGCAGAACCTTTGCAAGCATAAATGAACGGGTATATCTCCTTTTAGAGTGGACTTCAAGCATTGCAACCTTGCAGATCTTTTTTTCTGCTTAAACAGCAACTTTAAACACTAACTAAATGTTGAAAAAGTAAAAAATAAGCATAACTGTACACCCTTTTTCTAATAATTTTATTATTTTACATAGAAATAAATGTTAAATCATTTGGAGGTGAATACTGTTTACCCAGAAATATTAAAGAAAAATGTTAAATGTTGTACTGTAACAAATGGCACAAGTGTATATTAGGGCTGGGTGATAAAACGATTTAAAATTGGGTTGTGATCAAATTTATGTTGATGAAAATGATATGCTCTGCAGCTGTTGGCTCAAAGTTCACACCCATTCCTACTGCACACTGTAAGTTATTAGTCAACAGAACTTGACACAAGGAAACAAAAATGAGTGGAACGGGCGAGGAAAGCAAAAGTTAAAGTGAAACTAACTTTGTATTATCTTCCAAAGATGAGAAAATAGTCAAAACATTTTTTACCATGACTGCAGTTATATGGAAGTGGTTTGGCTATTTTAAAAGCGACCAGGCGCAGATTAAAGCGATCTGGAAAATATGTCAGAAATTGATGACATCCAAGACTGACAACACAACAAATCACCATCCCAGCGACCACACTGAAAGAAAATGTGGGCCGATATTTCTCTGTCAACAAGTAGCACTCATAGCAGGGCTGTACCAAAGCAGGAATCGATTGTGTCACCCTTCATAGCCATTACTCCTTATGAAAAGCGATCCAAAAGGAGCAAGGATATAACGAGAGCAGCGTCTTACTTTATAGCAAAGGATATGATGCCCCTAAGCTAGGGCTGGGTATCGAATTTGAAACCATTTAGGAATTGCCTCAATACCATAGAGTATCAAAAAAATATCTTGTTGTTTGGTACCAAATTTCGATACCCTAGGAGTTAATCTTGTCAACGTCTGTGAGCCAGCAAGCACGCAGCATACAGATTGGCTGTGGCAAGGCATCAAGGAAAAACACTAGTTTACGCTGGTTACGCCCAGAGATGTGGCTCACACATGTGTAAACGGGCTGTAGTGTGTAAACGTCCCATCCCCCATAGATGTAAAAGATGTAGAAAAGATCAAAAGTGTGGCTTTTCATCAGACTCGATGACAACAGTGCGTAATGCAATATTTGCGACAAGATAATTGCTGCCAAGATCGGCAACACAACAAATCTGATAAAGCACTTGACAGTGCACAGATTAAACATAAGAGCAGAAACTTGCCCCGTCTTCGACTACAAGAAAACCAAGCCGGAGTAGTCATCCTCTCAGTGTCCTCCTGCCACAGAGCCTCCTTCACCATGCCCACCACACAATTCCTCATGCAAAACTACTCATGAAGACAGCTGTGCTACGACTGGGACTCCGACAGGTAAGGTTAACGTTTAGCAAACAAACAACAAACTAACAAAATCAGCTAACCTGTTGTGGTACATGCTTGTGTACTAGTTAAGTTAACGTTTCTGTGCGCGGTGACTTAGTCCTATAAACTGGGACCTCCATAGCGTTAGATATAGTTTGGATGTATAGCTATAGATTGCTAGCTAAATCGATGCTAAAATGCTTTAAAGTTGACAGCAACGGATCAAGTTTAACTCACATTAAACTAATTATCTTGTTAAAACATGCTTTTAGAAGAAAATAAACTTGTTTGCATTTACCTCAATAGTGTTTTATATTTTTCTTTATTTTTTTACTTTTTTGTTCACAGAAGAGGCCAAAGCTCTCTGCCCTTGAGGAGCTGTTTGTTCTTAATTTAATTGCCATGTCCTCCACAGCAGAGACCACCGTCAGCAGTAGTAGATAGAAGATTCAGGCAGAGATAAAGCACTACAGATTACTTCCATCTACACTGTCCTCAGTGAGTCCAGTAACCTAGTGGTGAGACAAGGACACTCTGCCAATGCTTTCTGATTTGGCAACAAGGTAAGCAAGCATTACCACACCCTCAGAGCTTACATTTTCTACTGCTGGGGACATTATCAGTCAGGAGCGGGCTTGTTTGTCTCCTGAAAAAGCAGACATGCTATTTTTTAAAAGAAGAAGAACTGCCGAGTGATTTAAAGATCTTGAGTATGTAGTAGTGAGCCTCACATACTGACTTAAAGTTCAAATAGTTTTCAGTGCAAAATGAACAGTTTCATTAAAACAAAATTGTGTTATGAAGCGTGCCGTGGAAAGCTGGAAATTCAGCTAAGGAACTGTGCCACTACCACTGACATATGGTCCAGCCGCACATCTGAGCCATATGAGCCTCACTATTCACTACATCAACGAGGAGTGGGCTCTTCAAAGTAGATGCTTGCAGACGTCATATTTTCCAGATGACCATACTGCCGAAATACTCTGCCAGGGTCTGGAGGATGCACTCGCATCTTGGGGCCTTAGCAAGGACCGACAGGTGCGTATCACCACAGATAATGCAGCAAACATTGTCAAGGTTGTTTCGCTTAAAAATTGGACTCACCTACAGTCTTTCGGTCACCAGCTGCATCTAACCATTGGAAAGTTAATAAACATCTGAGGAAAGAGCTATGCTAAATGCCAAGGATCTCCAACCCTGCTCCTGGAGAGCTACTGTCCTGCAGACTTAAATTCCAGCCCTGGAATATGTTACCGTTTTTTGCATTGTATATTGAATTGTAGTACATTTGAATTGTACTATTTTTGAGATACCTGACATATATTTTAATGTTAGCCTATAATGTATTTGATTAACATTTTGCACGTGTTTCCATGAATTGGATTATGATGTACAGCATTGACTAAGGTGAATATTTATTGACTTCATTTATTATAAACTTCTATGGATGTTGTTGTTTAGATGCAAACTACGAAGTGGCAAAGAAAACACATTTGGCACATTTTTAACAAATGCTGGTACAGTCCTATATGACATGTTATACTGTCAGCGATTTGTTGTGTCGTGCTGCACCGCACTGCATCCAGTGTAGACAGTTGCTGTGCCTCATTTCGAAGGCTATGCCTTCCAAAGGCCACATGCATCATTGAGGCTGCCTAATTTCAGAATTACATTCAAAGATATTACAAGAATTACTAGAGGTGGGAAGATTCATATTGATTCTTGGGGTCACGATTCAATTAAAAATCGATTCACAAATTTTCTATTTTTAATCACGATTCACGATTTTTCATCACTTTTTTGTGCACACTGCACATCAAACGCACCAGTATCTTGATGCAAAACACACCAGTCTATAATATGGGTAGTCCTGACTCAAGAAATCAGGGTTTCCTATTAACGATGAATTTCCTAATAAATCAAAAATATTGTACATGCCCAAATCCGAATACCATGTTTGGAAAGGAAATCCTTTCATACTATGGAACCCCTATAAATAAGAGATAGGAGGAAAAAATTGATTTCAATGCTTTCTCTTGCAATTACAGTATATCGCTGGGTATTTATACTGTATATAAATTGCGGGGCATTGAAACACTTCGAGATTCGCAATCACACATGCGCCGTGTATACTATGGAGCAGCAGTACTTACCGCTCATTTTACAAGATAGGATATGCAAATCATTCACCATCGTCCTCAATCTTCTATTCTTACTCTAAGTGAAATTTTATGTACTGTAATGTAACAGGCTACCGCTAGCAAGCGGCAAATCATTTTCCGTAGAATGCGTTGTTCGTTTTCCGTGCCTTTCTGAATACGGATTCACTATTCTGGCACAACCCTACTTCCCATAATCACAAATGATCAATAATTAATATAACATTTTTCCAAATACTTGCCCTCGTTGAAAATGGGACAGGATGAACTTGTTTTTCCTCCTACATTGCTGTTTTGTTCCGACAACATCATGTTATTATTCTTATTATTATTATATTAACTAAAAATTCAATTTTTTTAATTTGTGAATCAATGCAAATCGCTACAAGACTGAATTGCGATTCTCATGTGAATCCAATTTTTCCCCCACCCCTAAGAATTTCACCTCACAAGAAATAATGGTGGTTACCTTTTTTAAAGATGCAGTCTGTAACTTTTTTTGGTTAAAAATTATCCGAAATCAATATTTGAGCAAGTACATAACCAGCCAGTGTTCAAAACTATCGCCTTACTTTAGCCCGATTCACAACGGTTAGCTTATAATAATGTTTTCTAATTTGAGTGGTACGGGTAGGTTTTCGCGGGAAATTCGAGCATGGCACTGCGTCATTACGTCACGTCTGTAAACATAAAGAAGTTGTCCCGGTCTTCTATTCTTACTCTAAGTGAAATTTTATGTACTGTAATGTAACAGGCTACCGCTAGCAAGCGGCAAATCATTTTCCGTAGAATGCGTTGTTCGTTTTCCGTGCCTTTCTGAATACGGATTCACTATTCTGGCACAACCCTACTTCCCATAATCACAAATGATCAATAATTAATATAACATTTTTCCAAATACTTGCCCTCGCTGAAAATGGGACAGGATGAACTTGTTTTTCCTCCTACATTGCTGTTTTGTTTCCGACAACATCATGTTATTATTATTCTTATTATTATATTAACTAAAAATTCAATTTTTTAAATTTGTGAATCAATGCAAATCGCTACAAGACTGAATTGCGATTCTCATGTGAATCCAATTTTTCCCCCACCCCTAAGAATTTCACCTCACAAGAAATAATGGTGGTTACCTTTTTTAAAGATGCAGTCTGTAACTTTTTTTGGTTAAAAATTATCCGAAATCAATATTTGAGCAAGTACATAACCAGCCAGTGTTCAAAACTATCGCCTTACTTTAGCCCGATTCACAACGGTTAGCTTATAATAATGTTTTCTAATTTGAGTGGTACGGGTAGGTTTTCGCGG